GCATTCAGCTGCCCCCCCGAGAATGAATTTAGGTCCCTCACAGAATCAAACTGGGGTCTCCTGGATTAAACTGGGCTCACCAGGGTTAAACGTGACTCTCCAAGAACTGAACTGGGACCTCAGAGTTTAACTGTGCCCCATCTGGAGTGAAACTGGCACCTCCTAGATCTGACTGTGTTTAGCAGATTTAAAGTGGATTAAACTGGACCACCAGGCCCTCCTAAAACTCAGCTCCCCCAGCGCAGGATCAAACCCACCCCCTCAAATGCAGAGCCCCCCGGACCAGCCTTGTGGCGGCACTGCCCGTGTCCCCAGGCAGAGCAGCGCTGGTGCCACCACGGTGTGCCCCGACCCCCGGGCTGTGATTTGGGGGGGCTCAGCAGGTTTTCGGGGGGCTCAGCAGGTTTTGGGGTCTCTCACCCTCTCTCTCTCCTTGGCGTTGGCCGCCTGCCGCCGCTCCAGCGCCTCGCTGGGGTCCCCGGTGGGCTCGTAGGCCCCGCTGGGGCCGCGCCGCAGGCGGGCGATGGCGGCCGGCCGGGGCAAGGGCCCGAAGCGCTGCCTCAGGAGCCCCTCCAGCACCTCGGGGGGTGGCGTGGGCTGCAGGACCCCCGGGGGATCTGGGACCTCCGAGGGCTGCAGGACCCCCGGGGGATCTGGGACCTGTGAGGGCTGTGGGATCCCTGAGGGCTCTGGGACCCCTGAGGGCTCAGAGACCCCCAAAGGTTCTGAGACCCCTGAGGGCTCCAGGATCTCTGAGGGCTTCAGGACCCCCGGCCACCCCCCAGCTCTGCTGGGCTCCCCCATCCCACAAAACAACAGAAGCTGCACCCTCGGAGCTGACTCTCCAAAAGGGGGGAAATTGCTGAAAAAGGGCCCTAAATACCTGGGGCCAAACGAGGCACAGGTGGATTCCCCAGGGCCTGATGAGCTCGGGCTGTGCCTCAGTTTCCTCACCCACGATCCCAGCCTGAACCCACAAAATCCTGATCCCCCGCTGTGCCTCAGCTGTCCAGGTATCCACAAAGCCCCGTGAAAAACGAGGTTCACATCATTTTTATAGAGTTTAAAAGTTTAATAAAAAAGACAATTAGGAGAGGAAAATAAAGTGTACAGATAGGGCCGGGTGTCTCTGCATTCACCTCACTGACAAAGGATTGTCCCTTAAAAACAGAACCTTGCTACATATCCATAAATTCTTATATATATCCATAAATCCTCATTCATATCCATAAATTCTTATATATATCCATAAATTCTTATATATATCTATAAATCCTCATACATATCCATAAATTCTCACACATATCCATAAATTCTTCTTAGGATTTTTGGGGTTCTTCTGTTTAGTTTTCTCTTGCCCCCTTCCCAATAGATCAATCCTCTTGGTGCCATTGAGATTTACATTCCCTGATACCAGAAATGCAATAAATTCCTCCCCCAGAGTTCTGGTCACTGCTGTCCTCATCTGAATAAAACAGTTTACAAATGCAGGAGTTCTGTATCTTTTTTTTTTCTCAGTCTTTGGGTTATACAAACAAAAACAGTTTTTATTTTAACACTATGCCATAACCTAACATAAATGTATTATACCACTATTTCTAAATTTCATCAATAACAGAAATAAAGAAAACTATATTAATACAACAAAATTTCCCGTTCTTATACACATAATATTCATTTTAATATTTGTGAAAAGCCAACAATATAATCTGTTAATAATAATTATAATTATATCAATAATTATATTAATAATATAATAACAGCCCTGAGCCCAAAAAAGGCCCCCCAAAACCACGCTGAGAGGAATTTGGGGGTCTGGCACCGATGGGCACCTGGATCCTCTCCAGAGAGAAGAGAGCTGGCTTGAAAGGCCTCGTTTATTCTTAAAAACGTGAGGAAAACAGAAATAAAAGCTTTAATGTCACGAGGCTCGGTAGATGGCAGTGTTGGTCCCTGACATGCTGCAAAACTCAGGGAGGCTGGAAAATAAATGGTGAAATCTCCCTTTTTCCTCCAATAAAAGTTCAGATCACTTCGGGTTATCCACCATGGAGGGGATCCCAGTCCCCCAGCACCGGGATGGATTTCCCCTCCCCTCTGGAGTTTTCACGGGGAAAAGTCCTTCAGGGGAGTTCATCCCGGTTTTCCTGGGAAATCTGGGGCTCCCAGGGTGCTCTGAGGTGTGTGTGGGGTATGGACATGTCCCCTGTGCGGGGTTGAGGCTGCGCTGCCTCAGTTTCCCCAAAGCTGGAAGCATCTGCAGGAGCTGAATACCATCCCCAGCTGCTCCGGGATCCTGGAAGTTCCTTCTGTGTCCATAAGGAGACAGAGAGTGCAGAGCAGACCCTAAAGAAACCCCAAAATGACCCTAAAATGAGAGGCACCTGGAAGTTAATTGAGGTTTTCCTAAGAACTTAGAAAAAACCCAATTTTCTTCTCTTTAATGCTCTGTAATGAGCTTCCCTATCCCACAGCAGGCTCTGGATAATCCCATTATTCCTGCCCCGATCTGGGCAGAATTCCAGTATCAGACAAATTAATCTGAGGGCAGGGAGATGTAAAGTCACCCCAAAAATGGGTCCGTGCCCAGCAGCTCACCTGAGCTCACCTGAGCTGGGAGTATCTGGGGGGGTCAAACTGGTTTTGTTCCTTCTCTGTGCTGGGAAAAGCTGGGGAATGCTCCAAGTTCAACAGAGAGGGGTTAAATATCGAGGGGAAATGGGGTTTGCAAGGGTTGTGCCCTGAGGGGAAATGAGTGGAGCCAGTGGGAAAAGAATTGGGGACTGGGGAGGATTGGGAGGCACAATTATTGGGGTGTCATGGTCATTGGGGGTCAGGGTGTTCAGGGGTCACAGTTATTAGTGAGCTCATTTTACAGTCATGGTTATTAGGATTTGGGGTTATTAGGGGTCACGGTTAATAGGGTTTGGGGTTATTAGGGGTCACAGATTTAGGGGTTACAATAATTAGCATTTGGGGTTATTAGGGATCATGGTTTTAAGGGGTCATAGTTATTAGGGCCCACATTTTTTTAGGGTCACTGTTGTTTGAGGACACTGTTATTAGGGAGCTCATTTTTCAGGGGTTGTGTTTTTTAGGGTGACAGTCGTGAGGGGGCAGGGTGCTGAGGGGTCCCAGTTAGGGATGGGAGCTTGGAAAAGGCTGAACTGCAGTGAAACATCATCCCAGCAATCCCAGGGGTGCTGCTTTGGGAATGCCCGTTTGGAATGCTGCTCTCCAACCCTCCAGGCTCACTTTTCCCTTTCATTTTTCCTCTCTGAGCACGGGCAGAGCTGGAAGCAGCTCCCAGCCCTCCACCCCAGGATGCTCCCTAAATCCAGGAGTCCCACCCATCCCAACGCCGATGATCCATCGAGGATCTGACATTGGATATCGAGACTGGAAACACGAGCCGGGGGTTTCCAGTTACCGTGGAGGGGTGGCCCGGGAAGGTCAGGGAAGGGGAAGGGAGCCAGGGCTGATCTGGGGCCAGGGCAGCTGTTGGCATGGGATTAAACCCAATCTTTCCTGGCACTGTCCCAAACCCTTTGGGAGCGTCTGGTCCCTGCCAGAGCTGCCAGCCTCGTGCCAGCCTCGTGGTGCCCAGATCTTGGCCGCAGGTGGGGAGAGCAGCAATAAAATATTCCAAAGGGCCTTTATGGAGATGTGGCCACTTCCACCTCTCCATCCTCCTCCTCCCCGTGCTGCCAAACACGTCCCAAGACACCTCCTCCGCTGGAGGAATCCTAAAATCTCAGGCATAATTCATAACCTGCTCCCTGAGCTCTCCAAGGGTCGAGCCTGGGTTGGCACCAGGATCCTCATCCTCTTTCCAGCGGGCTCTGGGTACCCAGGGATGGGCTCGCTGCTGCCAGGGCAGGGAAATGTGGACAGGGAGACTCCTGGAAAACTTCTGTCCTGTCATTAAAATCATGAAATCCTCTCTCCTGCTGTCGGTGCTGCTGGTGACATCAGGACCAAAACTCCCAAGTTCCTCCTCTTTGCCCGATATCCCGGAGCTCTGATGCGAGACAGAGATCTCTCCTGCCTCAGTTTCCCCAGCTCACCCAGAAGTCTGAAGGGATATTTGGGAGGGAATTCCAGAGGCTGCGTTTGCACCTAAATCCAGCTCTGGGGTTGACGCTGGAGGATTTGCGGCTGGGTGGGTTCTGAGTGCAACGTCCGGGGGTCCGAGGGACATCCCGGGGACATCCCGGGGACATCCCAGGGACATCCCAGGGACATCCCGGGGGACATCCCGGGGGACATCCCGGGGACATCCCGGGGACATCCCGGGGACATCCCGGGGAACATCCCGGGGACATCCCGGGGACATCCCGGGGACATCCCGGGGGACATCCCGGGGACATCCCGGCGGGCATCGCCATCCCGCTGCATCCCCGGCTCTTGCTCCTCCACCTCTCCTTATGAAGGGATTTTGTGTCCCCCTTTTGTGATGGAGAGCAGGGCTGGGAATTGTCCCGGCCACCCGGCGAGGTTCGCGGGGTCCCGGGCTGGGAAGGGACAGGTCTCACCCCCGCCATGCCTGGATTATCCATGGGGAGGGAGACAATAAAAGGATTTATGGGCACGGAGAGGATTCGGGCAGGGACAGCCGGGCTGTGGGGGTCGGCATCGCTTGGATCCCCTCAGCTCCACCCATCATTCCGGGGGGGATTAAACAATCCCGGTTTGGTTAAATCCAAATCATGACCAAAATCCTGCTGGGACTGGTGGGAGGGAGTAAATCCGAGACAAGCAGCGATGCCCCCGGCGCTCATCTCCCACCACCCAGCGCTCGCGGATCCCTGATTTTCTCATTCCCGGAGATTCCCGGGGAGCGGATCCGGAGCCGAGCGCTGGTGCCGGTCCTGCCCCGCTCGGAGCGGGGCGAACAAAGGAGGCTCTGTCCGGCTGAAGGAGCCTTTGTGCGAGCTGTGGGCGGCAGGGAGCGATCCCAGCCTGGAGCAGCCCGAGCTCTCCCCGTCCGAGAGCAGAGGAATTTTTGGAGATAAAAGAAGTTTCCATTGGATGGAGGCGCTGCCAAACCCTCGTCATGAGGCAGGTGGATGTGGGGACAGCTCGGGGTGGGGGTCTGGATGAGTCCTGGGCTGTCACCCGGGGAATGGGATGGGATGGGACAGGAAAGGGATTGGGGATGAGATGGGACAGGAACCAGGACGGTGTAAGGGATGGGGATGGGACAGGGGTGAAACAGGGACAGGGATCAGGACAGAGATGGTGACAGGGATGGAGATGAGAATGAGGTTGGGGATAGGAATGAGGATGGGGATAGGAATGAGGACAGGGACAGGGATGAGGGTTGGAGATGGCACAGAACCAGTGTGGGGACAGGGATGGTGTCAGGGATGGGGATGGGATGGGGACAGGAATCAGGATGGTGTTGGATTGGGAACAGGAACCAAGACAGAGACAGTGGCAGGGATGGGAGCAGGTTTGAGATGGGGATGGGGACAGGGCAGGGATGAGGATGGGATTGGGATTGGGACAGGGGTTGGGGCAGGGATGAGACAGGGACAGGGATCAGGATGGGGACAGGGGTGGGACCAGGGCTGGAGCTCAGCTCTGCCTTGTCCCACCAGCTCACACAGAACCCGATCAAGGGCTGGGACTGAGCTGAGCACCTGGACAAAGATTTAGGTCTGGTCTTAACCTTTAGCCCATCCAGGTGGTGCCTAAATCCAGCCTGGAGCCTGCTGCTCCCAAATCTGAGCTTTACCCCTTCTCTCAAGCCCATCCCTCTCTGTGATGGGAGAACCTGGGGCTGCAGCTCCATCCTCCTCCTCCCTGACAGCAATTCCTGCCTTTCCCATCTCAGATGACCCTCCAGGACTGGCTGCTGGTGCTGCTGGGCCCTCCGAGCTGGATAATCTCTGTTAGAATTAATAAATGAATCAACCTTAGCCCTCTTTGCCTGTCAGCTCCTCTCCAGCAGCAGGGACGGGGCCCTGCGTGTCCACTGTCACGTAGGGATGGACCCACGGAGCCACGGGCTGGGGGAGGAGCCAGGCAGCTCTTTTCCCCCTCTTTTATCCCCCATCCGGGTTTTTGGAATTCTCCAGGACTCTCAAAGCTCCTCCTAAGCACAGGAGCCGCCGCTGCTGCCATGGCAGATGCTGCAGATCCCAATTAAGCCCTTTGCCGGGTCAGATCCTCGGGGGAAGCCACGTGTCCCGGTCCCACGTGTGGCCTCACACGCAGCACACATTTGCACACGCATGATGTGTCTGCAGCAGGCTCCCAGCCCCTCTGAACGCATCCATCCCCCCTCAGCAGGGCTTCTGCCAGTTCGTTTTCTCTCTCTCTGGGAGAAGGGAGAGAGGATTCCTCAGTAAAACTCTCTGCACTGAAATTTGGGCTGGGGGCAGGCGAGGTGACTCCCCCAGGGACAGGGGGATGTGGGGCTGATCCATGATCTGGCTGCTCCTCCTTGCCGTGCCGAGGGGCCCGGAGCGCAGGGGGGCTCCGTGGGGCTGTCAGTGCGGGGCAGGAGGAGCCCAGACCCTGCACAGAGCATCTCACCCCAGAGAGCTCCGTCACTCTCATCCCAAGGCTCCGGGATTACACCACTGCTGCTCAAATCCCATCTTCATCCGCGCCGTGCCCAGCCAATGACCTCGGCGCTGGCACGAAGGGCCTTCCTCCACAGGGATCAGAGATGATAAAGCCCTCCCAGACCCAGCTTGGCACGGCGAGGTCTCGGTCTCTGTCTCAGCAAAGCATGGTGGATGCTCCAGGGATGACGTCCACGCACACGGAGAACGGGATGGACAACGAGAGCTTCACCCAGGTAAGGGGACTTTCGCCCTGGATTTGGGATAGTGCTCCTAGGATGAGGGAGTTTGTGCTCCTTGTACCTGGCTGAGGGTCTGTGATGGGTGCAGCACAAAGGGGAGCAGCTGCGGGGGTCAAGGGATCACGGGATGGGTGCAGGGTGGAGGGGAGTTGTTTCTCAAATCTCCAGCCTCGACCAGGTACGGTGATGCTGGAGCAAGGTGGGATTTAATTTTTGTGGTGATTTTTCTGCCTGTCAGAGTGAATTGATGAAAATACAATAACTGGGGTCTTTGAGCCGTGATCATTTTGTCAGGGAGTGAGGAGATGCTGCCTGTGATGCGTGAGGGTCCCAGGAGAGCCCAGCTCTGCTCCTGTATCCCAGAGAGAGCTCTGGGCTGGATTTAGGGATCGTTCTGGACTTGGGGAACCTGGGGGGGTTTCAATCCTCTGCCCACCAGCAGTGCTGTGGCTTTTGGCTGGGATTTTGGAGGGGCTGGAGGTGGGGTCCCAGCCCCTCGCCCCCTGTGCGAGCCCACATCCTCCCTGGGGGAGCCCAGACCCTGAGGATGGGCTGGCAGGCACATCCATCCGCACGTGGCTTTGCCACGCTGGTGTGGATGCTGGTCCCTGCCAGGAGGACTGAAGGGTGGGACTCTGCCACAGCTGGGCACCCCTGCCCTCCTCAGATGTGAGTTTTGTGTGATTTCCTGCCATCGGCTGGGAAGGATTTCGGGTTGGTGCCAGCTGGATGTGGCTGTGGCACGGGACCATCAGGGTCCCCCTCTCACGAGACCCCCGAGATCCAGCTCGCTCACACCCACAGTGCTGGGAGAGAGGATGAGCAGAGGGAAAAGCCTCTGGCACTGAGCACTCCCTGCCCAGTCCCGCTCCTGTCCCTGCTCCGGTTTGGTGGCATCAGGGACGTGGCACGTCCCACGCCATGGGACGTGGCGGTGCCCATGGAAAGCGCCCCAGGGGTGCAGGAGAAACCTCCCCTTTCCGCTGGGGTTGGGAAAGTGCTGCACGCGGGAGGTGCCAGGGCAGAGTGACTCAGGGTCCTGTGTCCTGACCGGGACTTTTGACCTTGGAGCTGTGCCAGGTTTGGTGGCACCTGGCACAGCCCCTCTGGGATGGAGGATGATCCTCAGCTCTCCCTGTGTTTGGCCATGCTGGCTTTTGGGGACACCTTCCTTCCTGCCAGCTCCAGCATCCAGGCTTTGGGTACTGGGTTGGGACCTTTGGGACCTTCCTGGGATGTTTGAGACCTTCCTGGGATGTTGGGGACCTTCCTGGGGTGCTGGGGACCTTCCTGGGGTGCTGGGGACAGTGTGGCTGCTGGGAATGGAAGGGGTCAGACATCTCCTCTCCCTGTGGTGTCACGGGGCCGATCCTGTGACGCATCCAATGGATCAGGAGATGTTTGATGGAGCTGGTGGGCTCCTGTACAGCTGGATGAGCTGGATCTGCCCTGAGGGAGGTCTGGTCAGGCCAATGTCATCTTCACGGTGTGGTGATTCAGGACACAGCAGCAGGACATGCAGGGAGTGCAGGGAGAGAAGGGATGTGTCGGTGTGGAACATCCCAGTATAAAATGCCCCTGGGCAGAGGGGGCTGCTTGGGACGGAGATGATCCCAGGTTTGAGGGTCACCACCACCAGTGGAGAGTGGCCACCACAAGGGGACAGTGGCCACGAGCGAGGAATGGTGGCCATCACTGGAGGTGGATGGGTGCCACCGATAGGGAGTGACTGTCACTGTGGAGAGGGCCAGCACCACTGCAACCACAGCACCACCATCCAAGGATGGCCATGTCCCAGTGGAAGGTGGCCATCAGCCCCAGCCACCTCCTGGCACAGGTCTAGTGATCCCCATGCCCACCCACCTCTGGGTGCCACTACCCAGCCACCCCCCATTGGATCCCTCCTGTGCTGACTGGTGGCCTCGGCGGCTTTGAGGCTCACGCTGGGCTGGGGGAGAGAGGGAAGAGCTGGAGCAGTGTGTCAGCGACACGTGAGGACGCTAAAATTAGGCGGCTCCAGCTAATCTAATTTAATCTCCCTTTTTCCGTCCGTTCCGTGGGGATTAGCCTGGCCAGCGGGGTGGGAAGCCAGGGACACCCAGGCCGACCCCCGGGGAACCCCTCTGGCTGTTCTGGGGAGAGGGGTCCGTGACCTGGGGGTGCAGGTGGGGTTTAGGATGGGCTGGAAATCGCTCCAGCACTGTGAGATCTGCAGAGGAGCAGAAGTAGGATGGGTGAAGGATGGATTCCCACCATCCCCAAGGCAGGAAGGGCACAATCCTCTCCTCCCTGTCCCTTCACGGAGCAGTTTGGGATGGGCGAGCCCCCTCCCTCTCGGCAGAGCCGAGGAAAGGCTCAGCCCAGCTCAGCCCAAGGTCACGCGCTCGCTCTGCGGCTGCTGGAGAAAGAAAAGTTCTCCGACCGGTTTTCTATTCCCGGCCCTGTGCAAGGGCTGGGTCCAGCCGAGTTCCAGGTTTTCCGGTGCTTTGGGTGACAGGGCAGAGTCAATAACTGGTCACCGGTGTCACGCTGATGCCGATGGGTTCATGGGGATGTGTGTGCCCGTGTCCAATGAAACCTCCTTGGAAACTATGTGGAGCAGCGCTGGAGCGATGAATCACGGGGCAGGTGATCCCAGATGAGTTCGCGCCTCTCCTGGAGCAGCTCCAGCTCCAGGGTCATCCCAGCTTCGCCGTGCTTGGATGGTCCCCAATTCCTCTGTACCCACCCGTGCCTCAGTTTCCCCAGTATAGAAGTGGGTTATGACCCTCACTGGGTTCCCAGGGGTCTCCTGGGGGTCCTCAGCAGCGCTCCACGGGGGGCTTTTGGGGTCTGGGTGCTCCGTCCCTGCTCTGGCCACGGGGCACGGCTCTTCCTCCCGCTCCGACGCTGTTATTACTGCACCACTCGTCCTTAAGGAATCACATTAGAGAAATTAGAGCTGCCTGTAGCTCCAATCCCTACAATCAGCCGCTTCCTCTTCCTAAGGAACGTGCCATTAAATGCCGATAGATTATTACAAGCCTATGTGGAGCTGGGAAGCAGCTGGGATGCCTTGAAAAGATTTCCATTGGGAGCTTTATTCCGTGAAAGGAATTCCAAAACCAACTGAAGAATCTCAAATTAAAAAAAATTACTGTATTTATAGGAACTGGTTGGGCAGAGTCCAACTCCTCCTGTCTTTTCTTGACTAGGGGGTTATCTGGCAAATCAGCGGAATCTTGGGGAATATTTTCCCTGAATAAAGTGATTTTACAGGGCAGAGTGATGAGACAGGTCCCTCATTTTGCGCAGACAGTCGCTTCCTTCAGCCAGCCAGGCCGGCGGCAGATGGGGAAGGCGGACAGATGTGTCCAGCTATTTTTAGGCTCAAACGCTGCTTTAATTTCAATTTGCCCACGGAGAATTTGGCTTTTTAGGGTAAAAAAAAAAAAAAAGCTGGATCAGAGGGTGAATTGAAATGTAGGGGCAGTGACAGAGATTAATGGAACATCCTGGTTTGGAAGAGATCCACAAGGATCATTGAGTCCAAATCCTGAAATGAATCAGGTCACGATCTGGGGATTTAACCGGCACGCCTGACAGATTCATGGTGGGTCCAGCAGGACTGGATCCTCAAGGAAAAGGTGTCTGGCAGCAGGGTTGACTCACCTCTGGCATCGGTTGCTTCTCTCCCTCTTTCCTTTGAAACGGGATTACAATTCCTTGAGCAAAAACACCAAAATGATGTAAATGGCCTCGTAGAAAGGGCTCTTGAGAGGGTGAAGGCAAGAAGAGCCGGAGCTGCTCCGGACTGGTTGGGAAAGCGGCGGGAGCGGGCAGACGGGTTGGGTAACTCTGCCCCAGGGCTGCTGGGACCGGCTCTGCGGGGAGCGGGGAGCGGGAGCCGCTCCGGAGGGCCAGGACGTGCCGCGGCCCTCGTAGGGCTCCGGGCCACCAACGCCCGGCCGCGGCCTGCGGAGTCCCCGTGGAGCTGGGATGGAGCAGGGATGGAGCAGGGATGGAGCAGGGATGGAGCAGGGATGGAGCCGGGATGGAGCAGGGATGGAGGCACTCTGGAATTTCTGGATTTCTTTGTTGGTGTCGACACGGAGGAGTTGCAGGTGAGCCACGGGGCCTGAAATCAGCACCTGATGCAGAAGCTTTTGCTGTTCATGGTTCCTTGGTCTTGTGGAGCCAGCTCCTAATCTCTCAGGAGCATTTGAAAGGTTCACACCTCATGAGTGACCATTTCCAGGACAAAGCCCGAGTGTTGCTCGATGAATTTGTACCTCATCAGCGCACCAGTGCTTCCTTTACACCAAGAACAAACCCCAGCGATGTTTATTTCCCCCTCCAGTGCAGAACAGGGATTTGTTTAGGGACCCCTTTACCCCAGGGCAGCAGAAGCTTGCAGTGCCCGGGATGCTCTGAAGCGTTTTGGGGTTCCCTGGAGCAGCCAGGATGGGCTCCCCACTCTGCCCTCTGTGCTGGAAGTGTCTCTCATCATGTCCCATCATTTCCCATCATTTCCCATCATTTCCCATCATTTCCCATCATGTCCCATCATTTCCCATCATGTCCCATCATCTTGATCTCATATCTCCCCTCTCCCATCTCCCCTCTCCCATCTCCCCTCATCTCCCCTCAGCTCCCCTCTCCCCTCATCTCCCCTCTTCTCCCCTCTCCCATCTCCCATCATCATCTCCCACCATCTCCCCCCATCTCCCCTCTCCCACCATCTCCCCTCTCCCATCTCCCATCATCTCCCACCATGTCCCATCGTCTCCCCTCTCCCATCATCTCCCCTGTCCCCTCTCCCACCATCTCCCCCCATCTCCCCCCATCTCCCCTCTCTCTCCCCTCATATCTGGAGCTGTGGTGAGACGAGGCAGGTCCGAGGGCTGTGAGGGTGCTTTTCACTCGAGGTTCAGCAGGATTCCCCACGAGCAGCCGTGCTCAGTGGCCAGAGCTGAGCCCGAGTCACTGCGATGTTCCTTCCCCTCTGAGCTACCAGTTAAGCAAAGTGAAGCTTTACCTGGGCAGGGTTGGGATTTTCCACCTTCAGCTGAAAGCATTTAATGGAAAGTGATCTATCTGGAGAGAAAGGAGGGGGAAAATCAAAACCCCCTTAAACAAAAGCATCTTATTTTAGTGCTGTGTCTTCCATAAATCCTAAAGGTTGTTTTGTTTCTTTTCTTGTTCTTTTCCAACAGTGTTTTGTTTAAAATCAGCTTATGTTTAGGATACAAGAAGGAGGAGGAAGAGGAACCAGATTCAATAATTTCCTTCTGTTTCTGGTAGTTGTTCCTTACTTGATTACTTGCCAAAGTGCCAGAACTGACAAATTATCCAATAACACAGGAGTGAAGGCAGCGCTGCCGCCGCTGTAAAGCTGGATTAGGTTATAAAGTGTCCCTGTTGTGTTTCAGAAAATGAATAACCAATATTCAGCAAACCTGTTGCAGGTCCTTTCCCCCTTTCTTTCTCTTCCTTCCTTTTCTTTTGGGTGCTAAAAGGAGCGGAAAGTCACACATTTATTTACTTGTCAGCAGAGGGGAAATCCTTCAAAAAGAAAAATGATGTGTTACCAGAAGCATTTCAGGATGGGGAAGGGAATACATTGGATTTCCAGCCCGCCTGGTGCTGCTTTGGGGAGCTGATTTCCTGGGCTGAGGGGGCAGAGGGTTTGGAGGCTGGGGATGCTGCAATGGAGTCATTATTTTCCAGAGGAGATTTACTCAGTGAATTATTAAGTATTATATCCTGAATTACAAGGAGCAGTTGATTTCCCGTTAAGGCCAGGATGTGCCGCAGGCTGCTGCAGGAAAACAGAACGCACCAGAGCTGGCAGCTGAGCTTTGCCAGCGGCTCCTGATTGCTTTTACTGGGGTTTGGGAGGTGTGCCCTGCTGGGGATGCTGTCTCCTGGGAGCAGCTCCTGATGGGCCCTCCCTGGCCACAGGAACAGCAGCATTCCCCAGGAAATGAAACCTGCAATGCCAGCCCTGAGCAGGAGATGTGGGATGAGCTTTGGGTTTGTCTGACTTGGTGTTTGGGGGAGGCTGAGCCACTGCACAGGGGCACTGAGAGCCTCAGTCATGCTGCCTTTTCCTCCCCTGCTTTTATAGAAATATATGAATATTTATAAATATGGAATATAGAAACCTTTTATATATATAAACATATTATAATATAAATATATAATATAATATAATATAATATAATATAATATAATATAATATAATATAATATAATATAATATATAAATATAATTATAATAGAAATATATTATATAAAATATATTTATATATTTTATATATTTATATATATAAATATACATTATTTATATATTTTATATCTTTTGTATATATATATTTATATATATAAAATAAAAATAGAAAATAGAAAATATTTTCTATATATATAAAAATATTTATATAATATTTATATTATAGAATAATATATATTCTAGTAATATATAAAATATAGAAATAGAAAATATTTTCTATATATGAAAACATATTCTAATAATATATAAAATGTAGAAATATAGAAAATATTTTCTCTATATAAAAACATATATTCTAATAATATATAAAATATAGAAATATAAAATATAAAAATATTTTCTATATATAAACATATATATTCTAATAATATATAAAATATAAAAATATAAAAGGTAAGAATATAATATATAAAAATTTAATATATAACACTATAAATATAAATATAAATATACAAATGGATTATTTTTATAAATATAAAAATAAATAAATACTTAAATATATAAATATATAAATATATAAATATATTTATATATAAATATATAAATATATAATTTAAATAAATATATACATGTATAAAGATATAAATATATAAATATTTGCAGGTGGAAACCCCGTTCATTAGCCCAGCTCAGGGCAGAGAAGGGGGTGATGGTGATGTTTGTGCTGGGGCAGGGCAGGGCTGGGCTGGGGGTGATGGTGATGTTTGTGCTGGGGCAGAGCAGGGCAGGGCAGGGCAGGGGNGGATAATCTCTGTTAGAATTAATAAATGAATCAACCTTAGCCCTCTTTGCCTGTCAGCTCCTCTCCAGCAGCAGGGACGGGGCCCTGCGTGTCCACTGTCACGTAGGGATGGACCCACGGAGCCACGGGCTGGGGGAGGAGCCAGGCAGCTCTTTTCCCCCTCTTTTATCCCCCATCCGGGTTTTTGGAATTCTCCAGGACTCTCAAAGCTCCTCCTAAGCACAGGAGCCGCCGCTGCTGCCATGGCAGATGCTGCAGATCCCAATTAAGCCCTTTGCCGGGTCAGATCCTCGGGGGAAGCCACGTGTCCCGGTCCCACGTGTGGCCTCACACGCAGCACACATTTGCACACGCATGATGTGTCTGCAGCAGGCTCCCAGCCCCTCTGAACGCATCCATCCCCCCTCAGCAGGGCTTCTGCCAGTTCGTTTTCTCTCTCTCTGGGAGAAGGGAGAGAGGATTCCTCAGTAAAACTCTCTGCACTGAAATTTGGGCTGGGGGCAGGCGAGGTGACTCCCCCAGGGACAGGGGGATGTGGGGCTGATCCATGATCTGGCTGCTCCTCCTTGCCGTGCCGAGGGGCCCGGAGCGCAGGGGGGCTCCGTGGGGCTGTCAGTGCGGGGCAGGAGGAGCCCAGACCCTGCACAGAGCATCTCACCCCAGACAGCTCCGTCACTCTCATCCCAAGGCTCCGGGATTACACCACTGCTGCTCAAATCCCATCTTCATCCGCGCCGTGCCCAGCCAATGACCTCGGCGCTGGCACGAAGGGCCTTCCTCCACAGGGATCAGAGATGATAAAGCCCTCCCAGACCCAGCTTGGCACGGCGAGGTCTCGGTCTCTGTCTCAGCAAAGCATGGTGGATGCTCCAGGGATGACGTCCACGCACACGGAGAACGGGATGGACAACGAGAGCTTCACCCAGGTAAGGGGACTTTCGCCCTGGATTTGGGATAGTGCTCCTAGGATGAGGGAGTTTGTGCTCCTTGTACCTGGCTGAGGGTCTGTGATGGGTGCAGCACAAAGGGGAGCAGCTGCGGGGGTCAAGGGATCACGGGATGGGTGCAGGGTGGAGGGGAGTTGTTTCTCAAATCTCCAGCCTCGACCAGGTACGGTGATGCTGGAGCAAGGTGGGATTTAATTTTTGTGGTGATTTTTCTGCCTGTCAGAGTGAATTGATGAAAATACAATAACTGGGGTCTTTGAGCCGTGATCATTTTGTCAGGGAGTGAGGAGATGCTGCCTGTGATGCGTGAGGGTCCCAGGAGAGCCCAGCTCTGCTCCTGTATCCCAGAGAGAGCTCTGGGCTGGATTTAGGGATCGTTCTGGACTTGGGGAACCTGGGGGGGTTTCAATCCTCTGCCCACCAGCAGTGCTGTGGCTTTTGGCTGGGATTTTGGAGGGGCTGGAGGTGGGGTCCCAGCCCCTCGCCCCCTGTGCCTCCTCCAGACCCTGAGGATGGGCTGGCAGGCACATCCATCCGCACGTGGCTTTGCCACGCTGGTGTGGATGCTGGTCCCTGCCAGGAGGACTGAAGGGTGGGACTCTGCCACAGCTGGGCACCCCTGCCCTCCTCAGATGTGAGTTTTGTGTGATTTCCTGCCATCGGCTGGGAAGGATTTCGGGTTGGTGCCAGCTGGATGTGGCTGTGGCACGGGACCATCAGGGTCCCCCTCTCACGAGACCCCCGAGATCCAGCTCGCTCACACCCACAGTGCTGGGAGAGAGGATGAGCAGAGGGAAAAGCCTCTGGCACTGAGCACTCCCTGCCCAGTCCCGCTCCTGTCCCTGCTCCGGTTTGGTGGCATCAGGGACGTGGCACGTCCCACGCCATGGGACGTGGCGGTGCCCATGGAAAGCGCCCCAGGGGTGCAGGAGAAACCTCCCCTTTCCGCTGGGGTTGGGAAAGTGCTGCACGCGGGAGGTGCCAGGGCAGAGTGACTCA